AATTCGGCATAGTAGAACCCTGTGGTCATCACCTTTCCGGTCGGTAGGACAGTCTTCGTCTTCTTCTGAGCACGTTCGCTGGGTGAAGTCCACTGTTTCGACTGCTCCTTGGTCTCTGGTGTGTACCAGTCGATCGCCGACGGTCACGAAACGACGCAGAAACTTCTTCGGATTGCGCTTAAACAGCATCAAACACTGCTCTGGTTCTCTCACGGTTGCGCTTGTTGTCTGGATTGACCAAACGCGGCACCCATCGCGCAGACCGCTTTTTCATGCCCAATATTTCATGCAGGATAATATGACATATTTATGATCCACGCGATCTTTTGAGACGTCTACTGTCTCTGCTATCTTCGCACCGTCAATCGGCGGTTTGCTAATACGAGATCGTGGATTTTTTTCACGTTACCCTCCGTGGTAGCCGTTTTCGGGGCACATGAGCGTGGCTCATGACGGTCGCCATAACGGAGAGAAGAGTCACCGTATCCATCATCCAAGCGCTCTTTGATTTCGCTGCGCGATTTTCCATCCAAAAACAATAATCGAATCACCAACTGATATTGCTCTTTTTCCATTTTTCTAATATCCGCGGACACGCCCGCTTCCACACGTGTTCAGGTGCGTTTACATATGAGCACGCACGCACTGAGCATACGCGCATGGATTCGTCCGCGTGCGTGGAGGGTATTTAGTTTAAACTGAAATTCATTTTTCAACGCATGGGCTGATCCAGTCGTTCTCGTACGAGGTTAACATGGAGAATAGAAATATAGCCGCGGCAACATTTATCATACTGTATAATTTAATTAAAAGAAAAGAAAATCGGAAACGAAAGGAATTAGTGTTAGACAGTTTGTATGATCAATGCAGAAATTTTACAAGAATGACCAAGGCTGACTTTGAATACCTGCTTACGTTGGTAACACCAACGTTAATGAAAATTGATACACAGTTTAGAAAATCTATATCACCAAGAAAACGTTAAGCCATAGCCTTTCGTGTTTTTTTTTTGGCAACTGGAGACTCCTACAGCAGATTGCAGTATGCTTTCATAGTGTCAAAATCTTCATTTTGCTTTTTTTCGAGATGAAATGATCCCATCAGTTTTAATTTTATTTTTTTTGTGCTTCGAATCAGTATAAATTTTCAATGCTACAAGTGATTTCTAGTTGCTTCCATGCACCATTTTTAATTTTATTTTAAATACTGCTCTTCGTGCCTAACGTCCCACGGCACCTTTAATTTCTGAAGCTCTTGCAAGAGTTTTAAAACTTTAGTCCATTCCATCATTTCCTGGACTAAATACAATTAACTCTTCAACCCCGTGCGCCGCGTTGTCGTTTCCCTCCACACTGAGCATTCGTCAACCCATTAATTCCTTTGAGCAACGTTTTGAGACCGACAACACGCGGATCGCGTTCGCTGTTGCTCGCGCACATGAAGATACAGGGTGAGCGTGCGCGCATAGATAGCCGTTTACACTGGAGCATTCGCGGCGGATCAGTGCGTGCGTGCTCAGATCTAAACGCACCTTTCAAAACTACGAGTCGGCTGAAATTTCGACAGTAGCCGTCTACGGGAATGTACTACACGATAGTAAATTTCTCTTGGGATAGTGACGCCATAGACGGTAAGGCTAAGTACTTATCGGTCCGCCCTCGAAGTGAGGTGCAATAATATTGATATTTGAAGTGGTGGCATAGTTGAGATCAAAAACAAATGAATTTCAGGCTATCTTCAAACTTGATATTTGCATCTGAACATCAATCACCCCGCTTCAGAGGTACAGTATATTCAGATAAGAGATAGACCGGATGTAAACAAAAGGTTCGGGTGATTTTCACGCTAACGCCGCCGTCTCGACGTAAAACAGGAGCCCTCATTGGTCAATTCGCAACTAAATGCCTATGCCGAGCGGCAGAGCAGTCGTATCAAGGCAGAGTCACATTCAGGTTCAGACGTGTTACGTATGTCGTGTGCATCATTGCAATTTGATATTTCTTTGGACGTTTTCGTTTGTTATCTTATTAAGTTGTTGAGTTTGTCGTTGTTATTGTTATACCTTGTTATAATTATAGGCTAATTTAAACGCCATTTTGAGATTATATTCGACTGTATTTCACCAAACATCAGACGGCATCCGAAGCTGGAAATCGAAGCGAAAATTTTGAAACCCTTATGTATATTTACATCATTATATATTTCTTACCCCACCTCCACATGATCCTATATCCATCACCAATCGTATACACATCGAATTGTGCTAATTTACTACAAAGTTACGCAAAGCAGCATCTACTATCTAAAATATGTACTGCGTGACTCTTAATACGTCCCTGCCGAATGTTACAGCGTTCGATGATCACGTGGTCTTGTTTATGTCCGGTCTATCTCTTATCTGAATATACTGTAGTTCTTCTCGGTGATTTCAATGCCCATAATGAGCTTTGGTTGGGCTCAAACAAGACCGATGGAGCAGGTCGTGCAGTCGCTCTTACTCAAGGGCTGACCCAGCTGGTGACGAGCCCTACTTTTTCATTCCCGCGTCTCATCACACGCCAGTAGCCTGCTGGATCTCTTTCTGACCACGCATCCTGCCCCTTACAGCACTGCTGTCCTGTCCCCCCTGGGTAACTCAGACCACGGTGTTGTGGAGGTTAGGTTTCGGTCAGAACCCGCTGTGGCAGCAGAAACTCGTACAGGCCGCAAAACTTGGCATTACGGACATGCCGACTGGGAAGGGCTCAGAGACTTCTTCTCTAGCTTTCCTTGGAGATATGTCTGTTTCACTGCCGCGGATGCGTCGACTGTCTGTTCTTCGATAACCGAAATTATCCACGTCGGAATGGAGGAATACATCCCTCACACAGTGAAAGTGCCTAGACCAGGGTCCAACGGCTGGTTTTACAAATCGTGTGACGCTGCTCGCCAGCAGAAGATTAAGGCACACAGAACCTTCTTACAAAACCCCACTGTAGAGAACAGACAAGCCGACGTTGAGTCAAGAAACAAATATAAAGCAGCGGTTCGCAATGCCAAAAACCAGCATGATACAAAAGTTAGGCACAGGGTAATGTCGCAGCGCAATGGGAGTTGGTCTTTCTGGTCGTTGACCAAGCAGATTGAAAAGAACTTCTCACACAGTAGCCTTCCACCACTTACATGTCAGGATGGAACTATTTTATTCGACTCAAAGGCCAAGGCAGAAGTGCTAGCCAAGATGTTTGTTGCCAACTCCACCATGCCCAACGCCCAAGTGCCGTCAATTCAAAGGGTTCCCTACACTATGCGGGAGGTAACATTCAGGCATAAGACCGTGAGACATGTGCTCTTGTCGCTCGACATCAACAAAGCTTCTGGTCCGGACTTGATTCCTGCCATTGTACTGAAGAGGTGTGCAGCGGAGCTTGTTCCAGTTCTTTCGCGTCTCTTCCAGATATGAATCCGGCACCTTCCCAGAAAACTGGAAATTTGCTCATGTCCAACCCATCCCAAAGGAAAAGGATCTAAGACCGACCATTATAACTACAGTCATATAGCTCTGCTTTCTGTTATAAGTAAGGTGATGGAGAGGTACATAAATCGCGAGCTTCTGGACTACCTCGAAAGTCACAGCTTGATTAGCGACAGGCAGTATGGTTTCCGGCACCAACGATCTACAGGGACTTCCTAGCCTACGCCACGCAATTGTGGAGTAAACTCATCCAGTCTTATGGTGAGGCTCATGTCGTTGCTCTTGACATCGCGAAAGCGTTCGATCAGCTGTAGCACGCTGCCCTCTTAAGCAAACTTCCATCCTATGGCCTTCCAGAAAAGCTTTGCAGATGGGTGGCTGACTTTATCTCTGGCCGCAAGATATCCGTCGTAATTGAGGGGTCCTCCTCTTCATCCCACAACGTCAACGCGGATGTTAAACAGGGATCGGTCTTGGCTCCGACACTGTTTCTCTTACATATCAATGACCTCCTTTCCTGCACGATCAACCCAATCCACAGCTTCGCTGATGACAGCACTCCATGCAGGAATTCAGAGTGTCAAGCCGATCTCTGCCGCTGAGCCTGAAAGAAGAAGACTAGCGACGACTTCCTCTCTGACAAGGGACCTGGAGGCTATCACTGCGTGGGGACGCAACAATCTTGTACAGTTCAATGCTTCCAAAACACAGTACTGTACTTTGAATAACAAAAAGCGACCTAGCGCTCATCCGGTTTCGATGGATGGCCGAGTTCTGCCAAAGAGCCATTCCTTTCGGCTGGTCGGAGTTCAGATCACCGAGGACCTGATCTGGCACGAACACATCTCGTCAATAGCAGCAGCTGCTGGGAAAAAGCTAGGGTATTTGTTTAGGGCAACGAAGTACTTTTCTCCGCATTACCTTCTCACTCTATACAAGGTCCAGATAAGGCCTAGCCTCGAGTATTGCTCTCACGTTTGGGGTGCTGCCGCCCGACATTGTAAATGCTCGATGCTGTCTAGAGGAGGGCGGTCCGACTGATCGATGACTCTTCTCTAACAGACAGTCTCGGGACCCTTTCGCACCGGCGGGCCGTCGGCGATCTAGCTCTTTTCTACAGCTACACCAACGGGCTTTGCTCCTCAGAGCTCTCTTCCTTGATGCCGCCGCGCAATGTGCCTGACAGACAGACCCGCTTGACTTTGGCGTCCCTTCCTAACCGTGTCGAACTTCGTACATCGAGAACTGACCGATAGGACCGCTCCTTTGTCCCGAGGGTGTCGAGATTGCGGAACAATCTACAAGAGGACGCTTTTCCCAGTTCTACTAACCTTAGACAGTTCAAAAATCGTATTAACAAAATTTCTTTGGGATCATCATAGCAGCCGCGGTGTTCCGGCATTTGGGCTTCTGCCTGCGCGGCTGCTCCCATAAAAAAAAATATCTTACAACTGTTTGCCATTTAGGGCGTATACAAACAAACATTTAGGAGGCTTAAAACGTATGGAAGAATAAGTCAGTGTATTTGAACACCATTATTTTTCAGACATGTACTAGTGGAGTTGACTGAAGAACATGCAAACTGCAGCCGCATCAACCGGTACCGGCATTTCGCCGATGCTCATGCCCGACTTGACTACGCTCAGCCTACTTGGACATCGCTCCCAGCCGGGGGGCGGTCACCTCGGGGCAGGGCACCCCACTCAGTCTCATCCTAGCATGCAGAGCAACCCTAATGGTGAGTGAGTATAAGTATGCGAAGGTCCTATCGTCTTACCTCATTTCACGGAAAAATAAATATGATTCTCAGATTCAGATGTAAAAACTTTTCATTGCACACAAACGTGGTAAAGATCATGGTTGTTACCGGTATATCAAAGGTCGATAATATATAGGTATTACCGGTCTATCGGCCGTTCATTTCTTTCCTTACATGGTCTATACCTGTATTTCGTAATTCAAAAAGTGATATTATATCGATTTATGAAATTATGTAGGTTTTCCTATAAAATGTCACCTTTGAAGTAACTGACATTCACTTCATGCTTACTTGTAGTCGGAGCGGGATGAACTATCTGCACCCCAGCGGCACAAATTGACATTTTACCGATTTTTTTGACCATTGAAATTATACAGGGAAAACCAAATTTGTCTGACGGCTTTTTCAATGTGTACAAGAGAGAGAAGCGCGAGATGTATGTATCAACACATCTTAAAAAGAGATAGAAGCAGGCTAAAGAGCGAAAGTCATGCCCTACCCGACGGTGACGCAGAAGGTCGTGCTATCTGCCGTGTTACAAATTGTTACACCAGAAAATGATCGCACAGGTTGCTACAACAGGTTAGGTTACTGTCAAACCCAAGAAGGAGGTATGCTCGACCATACAATTTAATATTTTGTTTTCATTTTGATTAGAATTATTTATTTCAATTTTGATGCGACTTTGTGTTTTAATTTATTTTAGAATTACCTTTGATTTCCACCGATGCGGTGATAAAATCAACATATCCCGAGTTATTGTTACATTTTGCGACAGCGCTGCAAATTATCACTGCCTACGTGTACGCAGGTGAAAGCCATTTCGAAGCAGGACGACACTCTCCTACGAGCACTAGATGGGTACTGGCTAAAATCGCTCAACTATGATCATGGAAGTGGAAACCTTGCCTTGAAATGTACAAGATGTGGTGACATGAAACGAGCCAATCATGCATTGGGTAAATTGTGGCGATCCTGACCGTTTATTTCGACATAAAATGGAGTTCGTTAGGATCGGGAATCGATCCTAAACATATTCGACACAATTCACAATTCAAAAATGTGTACGCTCAAAGTAAAACCTTTATTGGCAACAAGGCGATGAGCTTCGCTATTTAGACGGCTTCTATCTCTTTCTAACATATCTGTCTAGACACACTTCTCTCTAGTATACATTGAGCCCAAGTTATCAGACAAATTTGGTTTTCAGTGTATGTAAATTCTGTTATTTCTTAGTGTTGTTCTCGTGTTTGATAGTTGGCCATGACATCCAATTCAAACATCTTGTCAGGTCAGTAGCAATGGCGTCACGGATGCTGATCGGCGCTTAAGGTACATTCCGTTTTGAGAAACTCCCGATTGAGCTGAATATAACTACTGGATTGAAACATATTAATTCATGTTTTTACCTCTTATCGACATAATTTCTATAACTAAATATTTTTGCATTTTCACTTTAGCCTACAAATCGACTGTCTTGGCTCAAACTAAAGGACTTTTGTAGTGAATCTATTATTGGATATTTGTTAGATTAATTACCTAGTTTTCATATTTGCTTTGGCCTATATTCCAGTTTCTGGAAATATGGATTTTTTTTACTATGTGCTATGTTGAGACGCCAAATTTCCTTTAATTTTGGAAATGTCGAGAAGGTTTATATGAACTATTATCTGTTATGACATTATTAGCCATTCAGTCTCTACAGTTAAATTCGTTCTCTGTCCCCCGTTGACTAGTCTATAACGGCTTGCCTGCGGGGAGATCATACTGGAGATTGCTTGGCTGGAGAAATAATGCAGTGTTGCCTAGTTGTGCAGTACGTAAGTCTTTGATACTTTGAGATGCCTCATGGGAAAATATGAATATTATAAGGGATATGTTTGTTTAATCGTTCATACTCTGTGAAAAAATGGAAATTGCTGGAGGGCAGAATCATAGATAAGGATTTTAAAGCGTAGTAGAGGGGATCGTTCAATTCTTGACAGCTAGTAGCTAACGCTAGTTGCTGAAGCTGAACACTGACAGCATGATCATTCCTCATGGGCGTAGCTTACGCTTGTCAAGTAGGGTTGTGCGCTTAATGATTGTCGCCTGTTCAGGAGCATTTAGGAAACCGTAGCATTCCAGTACTTGACGTTAGTCAATTTCATTAGCGAATTTATTGTCTGGCCTCAAGGGTAATGACATAACAATAGGATGGCAGTATGCGCAAAATGCCACGGGCCCCTAGCCTAGCCTAGCCGAGAGCCCAGCCAGCCTTCGCTTCCAGAAGTCTTGCTTATGTTTAAGCATGTAACCCCCTTCCTCACTCTTGTTTTCAATCATCGGCATTCGTTTTCATAGAGCTACTTAAGCGCACTTGCACTTACTTATTTTTATGCTATAATTATGTTTCTGCTTACCTATTATGCATCTTCATATCTGTAGCTCGGAGCCAGACTAGGTTAAGTCCAAATAAGTAGTTCTGAGATAATTGTATTTTTTGAAATATTAACACGTTAACTGTCCAAGCATATTCTCGGGATTCCAGCAACACTTCCATTATGCCAGACACATATTTTTTTTAATATACCATTATAACATGTTTTCAACTATGTTTTACAGACAAAATCTCATCACTCTCTCCCCTCCATCTCTCATGATCACATATGACTCATAACGTATAAGTTGGAATAATATTTATCTCACGTCCATGAATCATATGTGAACATAAGTCCGATGATACCCGAGCAAGTGATTTCTTTTAGAAGAAGGTTAAAATTTATACAATTCAACCACTCAAAATGTAGCAAATATGGTGTAAAGCTCTATAAATTATGCACCACAAAGAGATTTTCGTATTACTTTTCTATTTATTGCGAAGATGAACCCAAAATTCCCATGTTAGATGAGCCTGGATCTGTGGTAGTAAATTCAGCTGAAGGCTTATTGAATGGACGGCTGATCATAACTCATCATTTTCACACCAGTATTCCTTTAGCAAAATATTTGCTAGATCGTTCCACAGATCTTTGTGGGAGTCTACGAAAAAATCGGAAGGGAGTTCCAATTTAAAAAAGGGGACATAGTCGCTTAACAACGAGACATCACAATTTTGAAGTGGCACGATAAGCGTGATGTTTTCATGTTGACAACTTGCCATGGGAATGATATTGCAGATACAGGGAGAAAAAGTAAAGGGGCTGCTGTAATCAAACCGAAAGCCATTTTAGATTACAACTCAGAAAAACAGGAAATTGATGTATCGGGTCAACTAAGTAGCTACTATTCACTAGTTCGTAAGTTTGTGATTTGTTGCAAAAAGGTGGCAATTGAGTTAATATTTGGCACCGTTGTAATTAATAGTTGGTTATTATACAACGAAATATCTACGGAAAAATAGGCTCTATTGCTTTTTACAGAAGAAATAATTGAAGAGCTTCTTGAAGTAGCTAAAACAACAACCCACATTGAACCATCCACTTCTGTTGAAATGTCAAATATACCAAGAAGGAACGACGGCAAAGTTATAAGAAAAAGATGCCATGAATGCTACAGAACGAACCTACGTGAAAATAGAACCCAGTAGACACTTATTGTACCATATGTAGTAAGCCGTTTTGCCTATCTTGTTTTTTTGCTGGAACGCACAAAAATAAAAAGCAGAACACTAACCATTTTTATGTTGTATTTTCAGAATGATGTTCCTTTGTTTCCTAATAAATAAAAGACTTTTTTGAAATCATTCCTACGAACATAAAAAATACGTCTTCGAATCATATATGATGTATCCTGGAAAAAAAATTAAAGTCCAATATCTTCTTAATTCGTCGCTATAATCAGCTGCTTAAATATCACGTCCAATTTTTAACATATCGTAAGGAAAAGCAAGTACAATGCTTCACATATGATTCAAGGGCGTGTAGACAAACATGTCTAATGAATCACATATGATTCATGGACAGTTAACGTGTTAAAAGTCATTATTTCCTTATTATTACGGTTAGATGGACGCTGCATCAAGGAAATGAAAATTCACAATATAATCAAATTCAAGCGAATAACCAAATGAAAGCGGTATTTACCATTTTGGATTGGTATTTACCGATCCGTTCAAGCGAGTGTGGTTATCAGTTTGGTTATAAGATCCGTGACGTCATGAATCAGCTGTTATATGTCATAGTTATCACCGCAAAATTGTGGTATTTACCCAACTCAGGAGTAGTTTTATATTTCTGGTTATTATTTCAAATGTGACAAGTTAGAATTTTGCCGGGTATTGGATATTTTTATTGTACTTCAGCTTCATTTTTGGGAAACTTGATACAGGGTGACTTCAGTTTTAGTATAAAGTAGAGCACCTTATTAGTTATAATCATTACTGTTGTTGGGATTATTTTAAATCTAGTTCCTATGCTTAACAAAGTATCCTGTGTAGCCATATACCACAAGAACATTAAAATATGCCCATATAAACTCACTGGATGATGTCCACCTGTATGCGGTTCTGCGAATATCTTTTTTCATCGCTTTTTCCTACCATTGCTGCTAAATCAATAAATGTTTTCTTTGACATGCGGAAAAGTTTAGAGAGTTGAAAGTTATCATAGCTACAAAGCCATGGCTCCATCATTAAAAAATTTTTTCTGAAAAAAAAGATTTCTCCCATTAATATTATGAAAGGTTTCTTTTTTAAACTTTCCATACACCGTTGTAGACGAAAAGGCACCGATTATTAAGTGATAATAAAAATAATCAGAAATTATATACGAGCTTTTCTAAAATAAACAACTTGCAACAAAACTGCGGTTAAAACCAACGCGTTCAAGCGATTCCAGTAACTGACGTCATCAACCCGTGTGTCATCTTGAACCATACTATAACCGCGATACATAACACAGAAATTTTGGTTATTCGCTTGGATTTGATTTATCATAAGCTCGACATATTAAACTCATTTTTGACAAAAATGGACTTGACCTAAATCAAATCCAAGCGAA